TCATAGAGCAGTTTGGGTTGGAAGTGACCTTGAAAGGTCACCTAGTCCAACACCCTTGCATGGGCAGGGCATGGGCATAGAAACATAGAATCACGGAATGCTTTGGGTTGGAAGGGACCTTTAGGACGAGAGGAAATGGGCTTAAGCTGTGCCAGGGGAGGTTTAGGTTGGAAATTAGGAAAAATTTCTTTACGGAAAGGGTGGTCAAGAATTGGAACAGGCTGCCCAGAGAGGTGGTGGAGTCACGATCCCTGGAAGCGTTCAAAAAACGGGCAGAGGTGGCACTTTGGGACATGGTTTAGTCTGGTCTACCCTTGATTGGCTTAGAGTAGACTTGGTAGTATAGGTTAATGGTTGGACTGGATGATCTTAAAGGGCTTTTCCAACCTAAAAAATTCTATGATTCTATGATTTAGCGGCTATCCAGCCCAACCCCCTGCAGCGAGCAGCAACAGCTTTAACCAGACCAGGTTGCTCAGAGCCCCGTCTAACCTGACCTTGAACGCTTCCAAGGATGGGGCATCTACCACCTCTCTGGGCAACCTGTTCACGGTCCTTCGCACCATGTCCAAAACAACTGTCAAAATCAGTTTACGTATCAGTTGAGAACACGGAAAACGCTCAGGTTTTGTGGTAAAGCGTAGCTGAAAACAAAATGCAAAGCTGAGCTCCTGCAGAGGAGCAGGACCAGCCAACTCCTAACCCCAAACCCACGATTCTGTAGTTCAGAGCACTCGTTTCCTAACCCAGAGGACACTGGGGGAAATCTTGTGTTCTTCAAGAACTGAGCCTTCCTCCAGGAGGGGGAGAGAAAACTAATTTTAACTGAAAAACTCGCTAAAAAAGGAACTGAATTTGTTCGTACATTTTATGCTTCAGCACCTCCACTATTGCTAGAAATCCGTTCTGCAGATGAAGTTTTACAGACCATGGCTCAGAGGGTGCCACTGCGGCAGCCGCGCTCTGTGGCCGGCGATGCCGTGCTGGGTGGCAGAGGCAGATGCCATCGCTCCTGCACCACTTTTGGTGCAGACCAAGGGCGAGAGCTGGGGCTCCGCACCCCCAGCAGTGCCTGGGCCGTGCAGGGGTCACCCCCAGTGTGAGTCATTCCATGATCAGCCAAATAAAGTGGAATCTACTGTGTCAATAAAACCATTTACAACTTGGGAAAGAGGAAAAGATGTATTAGGGACCAATTTGGGGTGTTGCACAAGCTTATTTGGGTGTATCTCTGTGCAATACTTTTCAAATAAGCATATCATCGACAGAAGAAATTCATGATAAATGTTTAGTTTTTTGGTAAGCCATTCTAGAATAAAAATAGATGCAGTGAAGACCTGTCAAAGCTTTTTGCTTATCAATTTTGACTGCAAATTCTCATTTCATAGCAGTCTCCACTGAATAGAAAATCCTTCAAGTGAGGTTAAGCAGAGAGCACTTTCTCAGGATGCAACTAGCCAGATTTAAAATGAAAATGATGCTTCAATCCAGAAAAATAATTATTCTATACCACACACTCCAAGGCATGACAAGCTATAGAACATCACACACTTTGGACCCAAAGCCTTCAAAGAGTTGCCCAGTCCCCAGAGATGCCGCTGCTGGATGGTGTAGGTGGCTCTGGGGGTGCCCTGGGGTCCCTGGGCACTAGAGGGTAACTCGAACTATTTACCCCTTTCAGCATAAGCCCAAGATCAGTTTGAAACCATGTCATGACTCGCAGCAGCTTCATTATAGCATAATCTAAGTAATTGCATATATATTCTAGGAGACAAATGACCAAGAAATGTAATGACTTCACACAACATGGTGCTGCACATACCTTACAAACGATCTCAACACTTTGCAATCACCATGGAAATTCCCCTGCATACAGATCAAGCAAAAAATGAATCGTAAATCAGCCGAAACCCTTTCGGAAGCAGCACACTGTGCCCAAGCCCTAATACAACTGTAATTGTTTAGCAGCCTCAGTGGTGTTAATGGCCTGCTTGGCACAAAAGCCAACCCTCCCAGCTCTGCCCTTGCAATGATCGGCGTTTTCAAATTAACTCAGTTAGCACTGGAGATCTACTCATCGCCCAAAGCAGTGCGCAGGACCAGCTTTGGGGAAACCCAACCTGAATTCGAGAGGAATGCCAAGTTCAAGGGTCTGCCAGCTGCAGTACAAAGTTCAAAAAACATTTCTGCTGAGCAGGTAGTTGCTCCTCTTTGTGTCCTTAACCCTTCGCAGCCGAGCTCTGCGGCACATACCTAAGGTGGAAAGGTTAGCTGCTGTTTGAAAATCTGAGGCCAGAGCCTCAGCTAATATCAACTGACATTTCTTCTTCAAAGCAATGGGACCACTGTGGTTTAGACATGCTCAGCATCTGGCCCAGATCGAGTCAAAGTTCAGCAGAAAAGACAGACAAACGATAAAACGTTGCTGATGAGTTGCAGCGTTTCACCATCATCCCTGCTAAAACAGCTTTAATTGCTGAAGGACTACCAGTACCATCTTGTTGCAAAAAGCAACCAAAATAACAATGCCCAGTAATAATAATCCAACCAAAAAAGCAGGGGGACACTCTCCATTTAGCCTCTCCTTGCCTGCTTTTATAAATAGTATGACAGATTTCAGAGCACAGCAAGCTCATGGGCATCACTCAGGTCCTTCCTGGAGCACAAAAGTAACCCATGCCATAGGTTTTTTTGTCCTTCTTACACGGAAGCGAATCCCTGTTAAACAGGATGTATTATATACATGGCAAAGGGCTCAATGACTCCAGTGTGATGAAGAGACACGCCGAAGAAAGCCACATAGTCTTTGCACCAGCTTAGGAAAAGAATTCACTGACCTTGGCATGAAGTGTCAGACTGCTACCCTCAAAACTTTATGGTCCTTGCTCATCAAGTCCAGAAGGCAGCAGAAGAGAGGAGCTGTCTTTCTGGGACTTACATGATCCCATCTGCAATGCGTGAGCATCTCACCATCACCATCCTCGGGAGCACAAGGGGAAGGGAGCATGGCACCACGTGCCAGCCTTGCACTGGGAGGCTCTGAAAGCCCAAGGGACGGATCCAGGTCTTTCAGATACCCCGAGCACTTTAGTCACTGGACTGCCTTTTCCTCCTGACCTGTAAGCACATGGCACGGCGATGGGTCAGGATAAAAGTGCTGCAGGTATTTCCATGGCACCAAACGTGACTCTACAAAAGCATTTGGTGTTGCTTCGCCTTGTTCAGGTGATGGACAATTTTCTTCCCTGACCCAGATACCATGTAGCGTTTTTCAAGCCTTGTATTTTCACCAGTCTCAACAGTAAACAAGTCCAATTTGTCACTCACAGGAAACAATTTAAAAGCATTATAAATGCACCTCTCCGTGCATCACATAGCAGAAATGGATATAGTCACGTAACGGCTTAAGCACTGTGTTCATACCTACATACAAATATGTTACTAGCAAAACAAGTGTCAATTTACAACTAAGTTGATGTTTTCCTGATATCATTGCCTTGCTTGTAATGCAGTATATTGTTTCTTGCTGTTTTCTGTTTTGTATTCCTGGAAGAACAAATCAAAACACAGCAACCAGAGCTACAGCAACCAGCCCAGCTGGAACAGAAACACTCATGGGTGAGAGATGGAAAACAATACCTGGCGCAGAAGAGCACTGGCGTGGGCAAGACCATCACAAGCCCAACCCATCCTCGACTGTAGCATTTTTCTTTCGTAGCTTGGTGTGGCCCAAATTTTAAAATCTGCTTAAAGAATCTGAATGGCCAATCGCTTTTTATAGGACTTGGATGGTAAAATTATTTGTGTGCCTTTGCAGAGAGCAATTCCTTACATTATACAATAATGTTACATGGGAAAAAATATTTTTTAGAAATCTGTGTGAGCTCGTAATTATTTAAATTTTAAAGCTTTTTAAAATTTTATTGAAAAAAGTGATTTCTCCTGAAATTTAGGGTCTCTTCTATCTGCCTCCTTCTCATCTCCTTCCTTTAGCAATCTCATCTTCACATAGTCACCCTTTACTCTTTCACATTTGATTTGCAATAATACTCTGAGCAGCCCCTTCTCCTCTCCGACTACTTTGTTATATTTCCCTTGACACCAGCCACCATCAACCTTTCCGACTCTGGCCCCCGGGTGAGGCAGGTCGTCCTGATGTTCATAAAGAGCTTCGCCCCTTAAATAAGGCTTTCTGCCTGAGCTGTGTAAGTTAGAATAATGGGCATGATTCAAACACAATAAAAAGCAATTTGAACACTTCACACGAACTTGAGTTGAATTGAAGCTGGAGCTGTGGCAATTTACACCAGCTAAAGATATTAGTATTTTTTTTCCTATGACTCAGAGACTCAATTCTAGCAGCATTGCTGCCTTTGCTGATATAAGTTCTCACCTATTAGAGCTCAGCTAAACATTTTGAGGGCTGTATACAGCGATTTCTTCCAGCCCCAGCTGCACAGTACCGCAGTAACCAGGGCGGGACGTTTCATACCCGGGCAAAGCCCCAAAGGAGTGGGCAAAGCCATCTGAGCACACACACGGAATTGCAGATGTGAGAAATATTTATTAATGATTGTTAGTTATTTGTCTCTGAGATCAAATGCTTTCTCATTCCCCTAATTTCACTAGAAAAGCAGTAACTCCTGGCTGATGAAGTCACAAATACGAAATTAGCTCACAAGATCACCACGTAGGCAGTCACGACACTTAGAAAAAGCCAGCCCTCAAAAATTGTTCACTCGTGGTTATTCGGGAGTGGTCGCTGGGATCACCCAGGTGAAAAAAAGGTTTTGCAAACTTTTTTTGAGCCATTTTTAATTTTAGAGTAAAGAAGACTGCTCACATGTTAGCAAACGTTATTTTTATGCTGCCAGGCAGCCCTGCTGATAAAGCTTCTAGAAATGACTCAGAAAACATTTTGTTATTTGCTAGATCTGATTGCCATAATTAACTTTTGATGATTTGTTTGTTCCTTTTTTAAATTGTTATCAAATACCTACATCCTCAAAGGCTTTACTGGGATCCACCTCCACTGGCGGGAAGTAGAAGACCACCAGTCCCTTGTTTCGCTGGGGCACAGCACAGGGGTTAAAATCACCCAAGTCCTGGGTCTCCGCTTTTCAAAGCAAGCCCTCCACATGGGAGCTTTTGGTAATGGATACGTGAACAATTTTTAAGTTAGACACTTGTTTTAACATAGCTGCGCATAATGCACATTCCTCATTTATTTATGTATATAATAATAAGCAGAACAATAATTTGAGAATAAAGGAATAAGAAGCTAGATTTTTCCTTACCTTTTTGGAAAGCAGGCAAAAGCTATACAGTAGGTGGAAGAGTGTACCAAGTAAC